CTTGGCAACTGACAAGCAAATGAGTGGCAACCGCATCAAGGGATGACAATAAGCCTCGAATGGAGAGGATCGGATTGCTCTCTGGCGCATATCTCGAGAACACACTACACATTCTAGCTTGTTTACTGACTGAGTGTTTCACTGTCTAATTGACGGCACCGACGAACCTGTGAGAACTGGCGCGGGCAGTCCATTGCTATCCAGGCCTTACACATCACATCAGCCCACACGTCTGAGCGACGCAGTATTTCCAGCTTACAAGTCCACACTTGCCTTGTGTGTCTACGCGTGGGTGTGTATGCAGTGCGTTGTGGTGCGACGCAGTGCACGGAATGATTCACTTGTTGAATGCCAAACCGCAATCACGACTAAATTTTATCCACTCTAAAGCGTCACCCGTTACAATTCGAAGGCCCACATGTTAGAAAACTACTGCTGCTGCCTGAAGAATAGGCAGGACTAGTTAATTGGTCGACCAAAAGTCCTCCTCCAAGTGGCATTGGAGAAGGCGAGGCTCTACACCTTACATCGCCTGCCCGCCATGCCTTCTACCTCGCGGCGCGTTGGTGCTTGGTCAAGGCTTGGGAGGATTTGCGTTTTAGGATGGCATTTCCTCAAACCATAAGTGATTGGGCTGTCACAACGCTTATGCTTACACGTGACAGTGGAATGGCCAGTTGAAAAACAAAACGGAGGCTGTCGGAGCCGGGTTGTTTGCCTCAAGCGACAAATCTTTTTCACGCATAAGAAGGGCATTGGTCGCCAGCTTGTGTCCCACTAATAGGAAAATGCAGTTATTTTTAATTCACAAACGGCATGAACTTTTGGTTTACCCCAGGAAGTGTCCTTAGACTCTTAACTGCCCTTTCAAGTACTAAACCAGATGAGGAGGGGGGGGGGAGGGGAAAGCTTTCTTGCAACAGAGGACGACAAACAAGACAAAAACATCTATCCAACACCTTGGAATCACTCAGAAAAGTACACAACGAACTCAAGGTCCTGAACTTTTGCCACATACTAATTACTTAAGTGAAGATGATGATGCAGGATTAAATAAAACCATTCCTCACTTAAATCCTTCCATAAATAATGACTACGAGTCATTCGACCCACAACAATTCATTTAAAAACAATAACTCACTTCCACAAACTGTGAGGTAGATGTTGATGAAGACGATGAAGGAGCGTTTGGACTCTGATGCATAGAAAGGTAGGCCCTGTTGAGACACTCATTGCCAGCGAGTGTGGAACACCACACTCCGTGTTGGATTGAGAGCATCACGTGCCTAGTGGAATTCGACTTGATAACGAAGTAGCGAGTCCGACACACCAGACTTGGATCCAGTTCTGGTGGATTGATCCTTAAAGGCAAAAAATGCGAGGAGAGGTGAAGCCAAATCAGGGCATTTAAATTTATGGATGCAATCAGGGCGCCGCTACGAGTTATTCGCATTAGTACATTCGGATCCCTAGTTCAGATCTGGATCTGGATTCGGTACGATCAACAACACGGGACGCCTATAACATATGCATGACACCGAAACCGAGCATGTCAAACCAGTTCCAAGACGTACCCAGGACAGAGACGAGCTAGTTCCTCTGGGTCAAACTCTGTTTGATGCAATCTAGAGGCTGCGGCGGCAGCAGCAGCTGCAGCGGCTGCTGCAGCGACGGGATTCGAAGCTGGGTGGTGATGGTGTTGATGATGCCCGTGTCGACTTTGTTGATGTTGTTGTTGCTGTTGCGTTGCCGTGGTTCCCAGAGTTCCATAGAGCGTCGGAAAGGGCGATGAAGACGCCTGTGATGGAGGAGACGCCGTAGGATAGCCCCAGCCAGCATACTGAATGGGTGAATAGGCCCCGCGTTCACTTGGGACACCACTTCCACTTCCACCACCGCCACCACCACCGGTGCTACTGCTTGCAGGGCCACAAAGACACATGTTATGAACGGCCGCAGCTAGATCCGAGTAATAGCAGTCCTGCAAAGCTGCCGCCGACTGTTGATCTTCCCGGGGTTGGACTGTTTGTGGTGGTGGGGTAGGATGACTCCTTGAGTACCAGGCGAGAGGATGGCGAGGTGTCCAGTAGGGATCTGGAGCGATTTGTGGAGTGGTGTAGATTTGAAGATCTAAGGGATAACAGGAGGCAGCGGCAGCCGCTGCTGCAGCAGCTGCGGCGGCGTAGTATTGTTGTTGTTGCTGGTGGTGGCGTTGATCTGCTGTGAGAAAGGCATTATAGAAGTTGCCATTCGTGCTACTATCAGTGTCCAGGCAGCGACCTTGTGGAAACGACTCGGCTATCCCGTAAATCGGTGGTGCTGATGCCTAAAATAGGGTAGAAAGAAAAGTTTTACTTTATCAGGACGCCTTTTAGACATGAATCCCTTTCCATTGCTTCTTCTCCAAGACGATTTTCCAAGGTAGATCTAGAATGGAAACACTAGACCTTTCGTCCGCTTGAGAAGGGATCCACTTCATTTTTCCTAATCTGAAAAGACCTGTAAGAGGTTTTAAGAGTAACAGCAGAAAGGGCAGCGAATTGTTGATAAAAACATTGGGGGAAATGAAGTGCAATTTACGGACAAGTGAACCAGTGAGTTTCAGATCTCTCTGATAAGCAATTCTATCAGTTCAAAGTGATCTATTTCACCATTTACTGGCCAACCCTCGGATCTGATTAATTGCCTAGGAGCCGTCCTTCAAGATACAAATCAGGTCAAGTGTGCGGGATTTGACATTATAAACGAGAGGTCAGCATATTTGACATCCGAAATATAGATGGAAGCAAGAATTCATTGCTTTTACAAGACTTTAGAACTCATCAAATATTTGTTGGTAAGATATTACAACAATTGCGGAATGAAGGAGGTCTTGAAGCCTGTTTAAATCCTAGTTTTAGTGACGGGTCACGTAGGGCTTCACCACTGTATCCCCACTGGGCGGCCTGCCTTTGAGTCATGCCAGTAGACCCAAAACCTTCAGTACGTCGAGAATACACAACTTGCCCGAGTATTAAGTCTTCGTTCGTCTTTAGGGAAGTCTTGGGGCGCTATAACTCATTCTAGTTTAGACAGAACGGAAGACACAAGCAGACATGAAGCGACTGGTCAGTTCCCATCAAATAACTAAAGGTTAGCATATGGAATGTAGGTTGAAAAAAACCGTGAATCCTTGCTATCCACAAAAGTGGAACTTCTGCCATAACGGAGCAGGAATTGACTCAAGTGCCTGGAGAGTGGAGATGCGAAAGGTGGTGAAAATTGGAATATCTTTCAGCTCAGTAGACATGAAACTTCTTTTATTGATTTCCTTGAAGAGGAAGGACGCAACAAGACAACGGTGGAAGACGTCAAATACTGGAGACGCATGTATGGAATGGAGCCACCACCATGGAATCTCTTCATTAGCCAGACTTGAAACCCCTTTAGCTGATCCATAATTAACAAATACAGATTTCTTCCGAAAGGTGTTGATGGAAAAGGGACGTTTTCTTTGAATGGACGTGGAACAACTATTGATATTCTTAACTTAGAGGTTTTAGTGACTTCTGATGATACTCTAGCCTTGGAAGGGCCTCTTTGAGACTCCTTAATTTGACTGAAACAAGACCCCGAAATCCACACACACGCACACACACACACAAACGAAAACTAGCTTCCACGGATGGGGGCGCAGTGACAATGACAGCAGCAACAGTACGATGATAGCGGCAGCAGCTGATATTTGTCTCGTGCCAAGGGTGATTGGCGCATCGGCTGGTTGGTTAACTAGCTAGAGAGTGACGCAGATCCAGCAAATGTGCATGTACGTGTGTATGAATGTATAGTTGTGCAAGCGTGTGGTGCTGTGTTTGCAGAGCCCGCGCGCTTGGTGGCAATTAATCGATGCCTCGCATAGCAGCCCACGCTTCACACCGCCGCCGTCGCCGCCGGCGCCGCCACCACCACTGACTCGGATCAGATGGGCACATCTACGTTTGTGCCGGCGGAGGGAAAGATAAAATAAACTTCCAGGCCTTGCATCTGACCTCGAATGAATCACATGACCACCATACACGCGAATGATGCATGCAAACTTCAAGATCCGGCAGGTGAAGGGCGCTACTTCACTTCCAGGTGCGATGAATCGGTTGTTCAAGAGGGGAGTTCTAGTCCTTGCAGCTCGTTCTAAATCCTTTATGTGACTTTACTTCACCTGCACGGCAACAAAGAATCCACAAGCTTGCAAAAGAAGTATACAGCTCCACCTCACGATGGTTCAATGAAGGAATTCTTGGCCATACAGTTTGTCCAGAAGATCAACCAATGAAAGCGAACTAGCTCGATTCTGCAAACAACTTTACATCAGTTCAATGGAGGAATTGAAGACATTGTAGCATGTTTGAAATCCTTTGCGCTGTTGTCATTCGAGGTGGGCATGACCGCAGGGTGCTCCTGACGCCCGAATCCTGTATTAGAGTCTTCCCTCCTGGACGTGATGTCTCTGTTCACTTTGAGTGGTCCACCAGCTACTGCATCCTTTGGTAGCGCTATGACACAAGTCCGACGAGACCCTGGTTCATGCTACTTTGAGATCAAGTTAAACCCGGGTGAAAAAAAGGAGGCGAGCTCGAATCTCGCCCACCAGATCTGAGCAACGTTTCATGAAATATGGCTTGCAAATGAGGAAAAGAAGACCGTAGAAAGCACAACGATGATTTGGACTTCATCACATTTGGAAGGAGGAAATTAAACTCGGATATGTAAAAACGTCACCCACTGTTCCACTCAGGCATCAACTTTGCATGGAAGCAATAGCCACAGAAATTGCTTTGACAAGATGCAATCGCACCTCCGAAGGCGCACTACCTCCAGTTGAAAAGTGATGAAGTAGTAGCAAAGAAGCCCCAATTTCGCAGAATCAAACCTACTAATAATAATGACAGGAAGACAGAAGACTCCTCTCCAGACTAGAAGCTTCGATGTGCGAATGACAAATGAAAGCGATTTCCAAGCCATGGAGAGCCACTGACTCAAATCGTTTCGTAAGAGCCTGGCAAAGTTGAAACAAGAACCAAGGTGATTATTTAAAAACTCGATTCAACATAAAAGAGGATAATAGCTGGCTAGGACAAATTGTGACACAAATCCACCACGAAAAGTAGAAAAAAAAAGTCGACGAAAATTCACTCACAGCAGTTGGTGCCACTTCCACACCAGCTTGTTGAATCTGGACTGGCTGTTGTTGATGACGTTTCTCCTGAACTAGCGGTGACGACAACCGACGCTTCGGGATGTTGTTGCTGGTTGTCGATGTTGTGGAAACGGCGGCCACAGCGGCGGCGGTAGCGGCGGCTGGGGTGGATCTACTGCTGGTGGTAGAGATGGTGGGGCCTAATTGTGGAATGGAGGCATCCTGTGTAACCAGTGGAATAGTTGAAGGTGAAAGTTGATAGGTACCACTTGGATCCAACGCTTGTTGCTGGTAGGCCTCGGGTAAGGGATATTGAAGGTATTGAGCTGAAATGATAAAGGTGGGTGCACTTAGGACGACACATCGGCCCATGCTACTCGTGCTTTACTAAGCCCTCAAACCTTCCACAAACTAATAATAAGGTTACTTCAGCCCCAGAAGCCTCCGTTTCGTTTCCCTATTGCCTATTCTAACGTCGTGTGTAAATATGTAACTGTCTAATACCAAGGCGGTGTGATAATCCAATCGCTTCCCATCTCTTGACCACGTGCCATGAGATATAAGGTGTGGAGTCTCGAGTTGGCTAGTCCTGGCAGTAGCCCTCGAAGCCGCATGTCGAGTGGCACACCTTCCATCTGTGTCCGGCTGTGTGGAGTGGACATATTCCAGTCACAATTGCTTGGGCTTTAGCAAAAACTTCTCAGTGAGCAGTTGTGGCTGCTGTGGGGGAGCTGGATGGGACGGTGAACGGATGGCAAGTTTGTTCACCTAATAAACTTTAGGGGGTACAAAAGCCACTCCGCCTCACAATTCACCCCAAAACAAACGCACGGCGTGTTCCAAAAGTCTTTGAGGCTTATCATTACCCGTGAAAGCATGGGTATGGAAGTCGTTCGGTTCCGTATTTGTAACTTGAATCTATGCTGTAGCAATGAATCAGTCCAGCTCCATATCCACAAAGATAATTGCGTTGGCGCAAGAAAATCTTTGATGAAAAATGGACTAACGTGGTTGAAAAAATTCAAATAATCAATTATAGAACTCATTTCCTTAACAGAACCAATCATTTTTTACATAATGTCTGTACTTCTACTCCTCTACCTCTTCCATGGGCTTATAATTGAACTGGTTCTAGACTCGGATGAATGATGGTATCTTCAAGGCCAAAAAAAGAATGCCCAACGCCTTTCACTTGTTGCAAAGACTATGTCCACTTTTGCGGAGGCTTCAAAAAAGGTTTTCTTTTTAAAAGGCTTGGCATTTTTGATGCAAACGAAAGATACCACAGTTGATGGTTGAATTTGCACGTCGTCAACAGAAGAGTCAAGAAAAGTAAGCCGACTTTCGACAACTACGAATAACCAATAACGATATGGAACATGAGTTCGTCGGGTCAAGATTGTCAAAATAGCAAAATTGCTTACAGGATTGATGAAAATGGAGGAATGAATGGACAAACTTGAGAGCAGAAAATCTCATATTGCGAAAAGTTTGGAGTATTAACGAAATCGGAGCTACTCTAAACAAATTTAGTTTCGTACGAAATACGCGAGCGGTAATCCATCATCAAACTTCAAGCAGTGCTTATCCAACAAAACTATTTACAACTTTGGCACAAATGCGCACCCCCCAGGCACTCTATAATTCAGAGAATAATCCATGTAGTTGACTAGAAAGCATTAAATTGGCAAGGAAAGGGAAGGGCTTAGGAAAAGTAAATGCAATTCTGGGAAGCTCCACCAAATCATGTTTCAGTGAGCGTGGAAAATGCGCTCACTGTAGCAATAATGAGGGATCTACTTCATGGAGAAAAAATGTTCATCGTAAAACATCTATATGTCACCAACGTGAATAACAAGGCGCCAAAGAATGGCCTAAAATGGAATCATTCCAACTTATTACTGACACTGTTTCAATTAGATCAAGGGTGATAAGCTTCTGGGTTTTATTTCATCATAAAACGTTCCACTGACTTCAAAGGTTAAGGGAGAACCCAGTAGGAATGACGTGCAAAATGAAACGGAAAACGGTACTCCACAACTAAAAAATTTACAAATTTCGATCAAGGTCATAATTAGTAATGCTTCAAAGCTCGAAGAGACGTAAAGCGAGGAGGATTTTAAGGCATCCTGAGCCTCCGATTTTGAGGTTCGCTTTTTATCAGTTGCCGCCCTTCCCAACTAATGTCCCAGCAAGAAAAGTAGCGCAAATGACTCAAAGAAATAAAGAAGAATTGGCACAAATAAAGGAAAGGAATATTATCAGAAGAGAAAAATACAGTTATAAATTACAACTCTTTAACTTTTATTAAGAAACGGGTTTAGCAAGACCGTCTAAGCACTAAAAAATAGCGCCATTTTAGTTATTTAAGAAGGCAATAAATCATCTAAGAATGCTAAAATTACTGGAAGAATTTTTAACCTCTCTATGCAGGTGACTCACCCCAGCAGTTGCAGGTTTGATTTTTTGCATTTAATATTGCGTCATCGATGCGTATGTGCGTACGTATAGGGGGAGAGCAACAACGACCACAAGTAGTGCAGTTAATCTACCGAAACACACACATAGGCCTAATTTTGATGTGAGCGATGGGGCAAAATTACGACCCTGCCCAGAGAACAATCGGCACTCGTTGCCAAGCGATAGAGCACAATTAAGCTCTATAGCAGAACCAACCCCAGACCTTCTAATTCATGGGGAGAAAGGCGCTCAATTCGAGTCCGAAAATGCTTTTAAAATGCTGCTTAGTATTGCAGTCCAGGTCGGCGATAAAGTGGGTCAAAGAAAGGCAGATTAGGAAAAATAAACAGAGAGCATTGACAAAGGGAGATTCAAAAACAAAACTTACGACAATAATAAGGCAGATGCCCAGTAGCAACGGCATAATCTAGGAAGGATGGAGCGGGAACCGCAGATTGGGAAACTCTGTCTCGGGTGGTGGTTGCGTAAGGTGATGAGGAGGAGGAAAGAGGGGGTGAGACGTATTGGTACATAAAAGTGGTATCGGGAGAAGCATTGATTTGTTGGGTGATGCCACCACGCATGTAGGCACCTGCAGCGGCAGCAGCGGCCGTGGCAGCGACATTTAGAGGGACAACATTATTTGAATTTGCAGGATTTACGGTTCCAGAGGTCACCGTAGAGGCATCGTAAGAGATCGAAGACATCATACTCCAGTTAAATGTCGGAAAAGCTTCTTGAAATCGAGAAAAGGAAGACAAAGCAACCAACTTATTTAGGGATACAAGGAATTCCCTTGGGGTCGTATGGTTACACACATTCCGAGGAGCATAAGCCGATAACAATTATTAGCTAATACCACTACAATATGCAAACACAAGGAGAACTGAAAGAGAAATCGGCAGAAACACTCGGTTCCGCCCCAACTTACCGACATCGTCAGAGAATTGCAAGTACCGGGTAAGGTAATAAATAATTAAAAGTAAGGAGAGGTTAAGAATGAAAAAATGAGGACATAAAATTACTTACTTTGCGCTGTTACTGAAAGAGGTCAGAGACCTTAAGCAATAAACAATGCACCATTTTGAAGGCTGTTTTTTAAATTTTTAAATATTTTAGTCCATCAAGTAGAGAGTTCGATCATTAGCATTACTAAAAATAGCCACAGATTTTAAAGCATATTAGTGTCTATAAAACTATGATTTCTTTAATATAAACATGAGCTTAAAAAAGAAGTTTGAGTTAGAAATTAGCGTGTTCGGTGAGAGTGGATTAGTTTGTTTTGTCACTAGTAAACCGACCTGCGATTGTAACAGGATGTCTAAATTTGTTAACAGCGAATTGCTCTAAGATAACGTAAAAATTATTGGTACTCTATGAAGTATATTCCACTTTGCCGGGATATTTTGGTACCATTGGCGTTTGATATCACGTCTTAATTTGCCCATTACTCTATTTTGTAATACATTGGTTATTTAACCCTCAGTTGTGGCTAAAAGTCACTGCATTTTTGCCGAATAGACTGACGTCCGAGCCATGTCAGTGGCTCTGAAACCTTCTGCATATCGAATATATGTATTTAGTCCGAGTATTATGCCTCCACTTCGCTAAGACCGACTTGTTATGCTTCACTGATGACAGCAAAAAGTGCCCTTTTAGCTTAAAAGGCATTTAACTTGATTCCTGTTTCCTCAGCGGAGTGAAAGAAGTACACACTCAACAGAAGGTGTATCGGTGACAACTCCGAACGGGAGGAATATAATAACATCTACCTGTGACAGCAATCCTAGTGCCATGTTCAGACTGGATTTATGCAACGAAGGCGACGCAAACCAAAAATCTTGTGGGTAAGTTTGGTCGCATGGGTGGGTATAACGTGTATCCGCCATATCTTCTGAACCTCTCTCATGGCTGGATACGACTAGCAACTGGTAACTTTAAAGTGTAAACTATGTAGCGTCAAACCTTATACCTACGGAACTGCGTTAAATCCCATCAATTTGTACGCGAATTTGCTTTAGGCCAGTGTTCCCACGTCTAGCTATTTGCACATGTAGAAATCTGCGCAAGTCTCCTTTTTTGCATTTTTATCTTATACTAAACAAAGCTTTTGATTTGATTTTAACTACTAAGAGGGAATACTACCGTTACGGTCAAGTATCTACTCAACTGTGCATAACTTCGATGACTGGCACTGTTAACACTTAAATGTTTTTTTAACAAAAGGAATATAACAGCTAAAGCTTAAAAAAATTAATATTTTACGTCGATTGTCTAGTTATCAGCTTGGGTGGAAGGCTGCTTTGCGGCTGGGCTATTGTACCTTCGCCAAGTGGGCTGGCATGAGAGCCATTCCGGCAACCTAATGCCTTTAATATGTCACTTGTACAATCCGTTTGGGCAAAGGGCTCCTTTTACAAGTTGCGAAGGACTACGATTTCACTAAAATTACTAAATTCTTCTTAGACATTCTAAAATTTGTAACGGAAGCAGTTTTCAGTACCCTGCTGCACTTAACTTCTTGCGATAAATTGGCATAACAATGAACATTCTTTATAATACCATACGTTTACCATTTATGGCTCAGATAATGCATTAGTTTAATGAGTTATTAATTCATTCACTCAAGGTTGTTCATTCAGCCTTGGGAACACTTATCAAGTTGGTGGCTGTGCAGTTTGTCCTGTTAACTGTTAGAAGCACCGTTAGTCACTCTCATCTGGCCCTCTTTTTATCATTTGAACGTATTATAAGCGTTTGTACAAAGCATTTTGATGAGAATTATGCTTTTATTTGGTGATCGTACTACCGATTGCGCAATTCCTTTAAGTATTTTTGCTTTATCAAAATTCTGGTTTTTATGGTATACATCATCTAGTACTACCATCTGATAATTAGATTATGGACGTTTTATTATACAAGACGGTAGCTGATAGTAGTAAATGCCCAATTATTAGGTCTTTTTAAGTGTTGTAAGTATTTTTTCCTAAATTGTGGGTCTTCTTAAAACATGTCCTTTCCGATTTATATGTTGGAGCCCAATGCCTGGGTTTTTCCTGTTTTAGATCTAGTAGCATGTAATAAAAAAACATGGCAGTTCCACAGCTTCTTTGTCTACTCTTCTCTACAACAATTGCTCGGGCTGGCGACCTAGATACAAGTAGCATGCCGACCGCATCCATCGTCGGTTTTGCATTCTGCGGGCTTATTGCCAGCCTACTTTTAAGTATGTCATTTTCGTTGTTTTTTTGATGTTTATTAAATTTACTTCTTATCCTTGCAGTTAGTCTATTTATCACCTGCCTGATGTGCTACAGAATGCAGCTGCGATATCGAAGAGATAAATTGTTGACTACGGCTCATGAAACACACCCATCTTTGGCACAGATTTCTACACGTCAGGTACCGTCGCTGCAACCAATACCGGGTTACGGTTTGGACTACCCACCACGGCCGCCATCACTTCCCTTTTACAACATGCAAAACCAGTCATATCTGGTAGGTAGCGAAAGCATCTACCCCTCATTGTCGGACTATGTCCATCAAAATCCGATGACGATGTCTTCACATCCAATTCGACGCCAACCCGACTATCCGGTAGAGCCGCGGATTGAAAGACAGAATGACGTCTATGCGGCGGGTAACACTAACACTCTTTTTCTTAATCAATGTTGGGTATTTAATTGTTTGGGGATGATGTTCTATAGAGGTTTCAACTGTGGTAAATGGAACTTTTTGAAACTTATATTCGATTAAAGTTGACTAAGCTTCATGCAAAAAGGTTAATTTTTCTAATAAGCAGTTGTTATATGCGTATGTCTTATTCCTTCATAGCGAATCTTTGTCCTTAAGGCCAAAAGTCACAGTAACGACAGCTTTTAACCTGAGTTGAGATAATAAGTAGTATCCGTCCGCTTAACGAAAAATAAAGCCTTACAGAGTGTTGCCTTTGTTGCCGGTGTGCTTGTCATTCTATTTTGTGCCTATTGAGGTGCAGCCTTATCGACTCTGATGACATTCTTCAGTCGTGTCTCTTAAAGCCTTTTTTAATGGCGATTCATTTTCGTATTGACAGACGATTTCGTATGGGTCTGGTGCCTTGCCATGCCTTATTGCATCTTTCGAGCCATAACAAAGCTAATCAGCATGGGACCGTGAGACGGGAGTAGAAGCCACGAAGAGTGGAGAGCCCGCGTGGTTAAACGGTCATCCAGAAATAGTGGAATTGAGCTGAGTAATTATTTGTCACAACTAAATCTAATTTAGTTGTTCTAACCAGACGTTAATTTTAAATATCCACGTCCTCTGTTAATTGTTAAAAAGATGCAATTTTTTATTTTTCGAGAACAAATGGAAATGCGCCCAGATTTTCGTGGCCGAAATAAGACCCTTTACACTCTGTTCCAGATCACACTTCTCCTCATCCAGCAGTGGGTTAGGATTTCTCTTATTTTGCTACATCTAAAACCAACTGAAAGTCGAGCTGACATCGATTTACCACTACTTGAATCATAATACCCCGCAGGAGGAACTGGTGTTACCTCCTGACACCTGTTCAATTCCGCATCACTTCGATGTGATGTCTCGCGCTAATAAAATGGAAGTTTGTAGAGCCTCCACAAAGTAATCACTCCTAGCAAATTTGGCTCTCAACTCTCTGCCCACACATTTCTTTCTCTCACCAGGACAGATTGTGCTTGATCTACTTTGCTTTGAAAGTTCTCTCTTCCAAAGTAGCAAATCTGCAGGATTTCCTTCTTTTGTAACAAGCTCCCATTAAATGCAAGCCGCAAGGTGCACTGCCTGCCTTCCCATGCCATTAAGATGGACTTCGAGTACTGCCTTAGCAACGGCACTGGGGATGAGATAATGCGGCCTTTATTTAGTGCGCAAGTTATTTCCCCTAGCAACGTGTGCTAATCGCGTCGCATGAGGAGGTTTACGCTATGCCATCATAATAAGCGTCTGTCTGACGTACGCGCGGTGATTTGCCTGCTGCCAGAGAGCAGGCCACGCAGTGCGAGGGTGAATGCGCCTGCCTGCCTACCACTGGGTCGCGGTGGTACACGCCTAATTATGCTTACCCAGAGGAGGAGTTGGCGCATTTATGACTTTCTCCTTAATGCCTTCCACGTGCTAATAGCGGGTTCGGATAAGATTGCGCAAGCAGTAGACTTGAAATTAACAATCTCTTGGTTCCCTTGCTTTAGTTTTGTTTGAACGGCAACGAAAGCTCAGTATTACCTTAGGCGATGCTAATTCCAGGCGCATTTGAGATGGTTGGACGTGTCCACCGCTTCCACTATATTCTATACTGACGTCGGATTTGCCGATTGTTCATCAACAGCGGCATAGATGCTGCCGCCTGTCCCCGTTTTGACCATCTGATGATGCTTTCGCTATACCCCTGTTTCTGGCTCGCTGCTACCCACCATCGTAGTTCCTGCTCTCAATCCATCTGGAGGAGAGGTTGGGTCAAATTCTTTTGTAGAATTGGCTTTTCTTACACTTTCAAACTCCCACCCCCCACCTCCTGATTAACATGCCCTGGTTTGCACTGTTCGGAACGACCTGGATCGCAGACTTGTTTCCTTCATTCATTCATTGGCATAATGATCTGCAGTGCACTTTTTGGGGTCATTCCACAACGATCTGCCTACTCGTTCTAACAGGCGTTCTAAGGCAGACAAACTATTCCACTGCACAGCATCTTCACTGTATGGCTTATTGTTTGGGCTGCCTTCAAAGCATATGAACAGCTGATTTACAACTGGAAGATGTTCAAGATCTCCTGCCTTGGACTTTCCTTTTTAGCTAATGCCTGTTTCTGGGTGGAACTGTAAACCTCTCCTCCTGACGACCGCTCCTCTTTTAGTCGTTTGTATGAAATTGTGCAATCCTAGTTCATTGAAGTAGATGAATGGATGTGTATTTTGCTTCCTCCCATGACAACCGCTTTCAACTCTTATGAAACCTACCGCCTTGCGGGGTTACACGCATCTCAAATCTCCCACGTGATTAAGAGTCACCTGTCAAGAGGAAACTTTTTTCACCATCTCATTCACAGCTGTACCGCACGCAACCAGGTGGTAGGAAGATACTTTGTCTTCACACCTTCTACACTTCCTGCCTGACGAATAAACGCCAGAGGCCTTACTTTTACTACCCATTTACGATGCTTTGTCGTCTGGTTCAGTGGTACAAGCTTCTCCAGGGAAGGAATGCTTACAAATCCTCCTCAAGTTGTGCCGGGGCAACCAAATTATTAAGCTCTTGCATTTGTTGTCAATCGATTACATGAGAAGGAAGAACTTCTACGTCGAAGAACCTCACCCGCTGTCACGTCAATAACAGTGGAAAGGGAGGGAAAAGAAGGAACCCTTCTTTCTGCCACTAACATTCCCAGTTGAACGATTTATTCATGTATTCTATTTCTCAACAAAACAGGTAGCTCGCAGCGAGTGAGCCCACGTATTACACTGGCTTGTGATGCTGGCTTTTGAACTCACCGACATTTTCTCAAATGAGTGCGCTGACTCAATCAATCCTGAGGCAGCATTTCCAAAGATTTCACGCCTAGATTATTTTGCGCAACCGTGCCTTTTTCTCCCTCCTTCCCCCCCCCCCCCTCCCTTTATCGGTCTGCCTGGACTGATGATGCCAACCTCTTGGGTGTCGAGGCAGAGACCTTTACAGCTTCTGCTGCGCTAGTTGCACCATAGAGAAGAAACTCCTTATCTCAGTAGCCTCGCATGTGCATTTCCATGGTTTTCGTATGAAAAGGCAGCAGAAAAGGCTGTATTATGATTCACGGAAAAGGTTCTTCCGTAAGTCAACCACTCCTTGAAAGGACATTCGCTCCCACTAGGATCGAAGGCTGCTTCCGCCACAAAAATGACGCCTCCTATTCATCGCCTTGAAGTAAGTTCCGGGTAGCTACTCTGAGGT